TGGGGGGCGACTGGGGGTCAGGGACCCCCTCTGAGTCCCAGGGAGACATTGGAGGTGGATCCTGCTTGTCCCTGGCTCAGTGGAGAGAGAGGGTGGGACTGGCTAGGCTGGCCAGGCCCTTGGGTCTGCAGCATGAGCCAGAGGTGTGTCACCAGAGGGACGTGGAGGGAGGCCCACAGTTGGGGTTCAGCTGGAAGATGTGGCACCTTTCCGGATGGGCCTTGTGCCTCCTATCTGGAGTAGCATGAGACTGGGGAGGATGGCAGCCTCCCTGGGCAGGCATGCAAGGGGCACTGTTCTCTCTCCCACCCCAACCCCAGAGAGACAAGCACTGGGAAGGGGAGGGGGAGGTTAGCACTTCAACCTTGCCCCCAGCTTCTGCAGCTCCAAGGCCCATGAGCCTGGCCTATGCCAGGTGAGCAGGGAGAGCTTTGAATCGAAAATGAGATTGAAGTTATAAAATGAACACAACTGAGCTGTAAAAACCAGGATGAGATTGCTTTAATTAACTGAAAATGACCACAACGTTATGGAATCCAGCTTCAATGTCATTAAGGGAATGGGGGGTGAGTTGTGCATGAGCCCAGCTGGTGGCAGGTACCGGGGAAATGAAAGCTTCGTGTTCACACCCTGATGCGCTGGGATTCCTCGCTAAGCCTGTTGCAAAAACGCTGGGAAGAGTCGCACCCACCATAGCTTCAGAATGCGTCTGCGATGGGGAGCGTAGCAGCCTTCAAACAACTGACCCGACACAGAGCAGAGTTCATCAGATGAGAGCTTCATTAGGGTTGCCAGATAAAATACAGGACACTCACTTACATCTGAATATCAGATAAACAAAAAATAATTCTTTAATACAAATACGTCCCATGCAATATTCAAATGGAACTGAGCAGCTTGCATTTTTATTCGCTAAATCTGGCAACCCCGAGCCTCATATACTTTAGAGCATCTGAGAAGGTCCACTTTGTTCCTCAGGTAACTGGCCAGATGGGTGAGGATGGAATCCTGTGAGTCAGGTGGTTGAACAGAGGATTGGAGAAGGTATATTCCAGGAGGGAATTAAGGTGACAACTGTAAATACCACTCACTGAGAATTTACCATGTGCTAGGCTCTGGGCCTGCTGCTCTGCTAGGTCTAGCCACCTCTAAGGTGCCAGGCAGTAATAATACTCTTCCCATTTTGTAGCTAAGAAAGCTGAGGCTCAGAGGATCAGCAACAGCACCTGATCCGAGGACGGAGCCAGCTCTGTTTGTTTTCAAAGACCGTGCCGCCTCCCACACGTGGAAGAACGAGGGCCCTGCTCCAAGCTAGCAGGATATAAGAGCTGGGATATAAGAGATGTGCTTCCAAGGGGAGAAAACACTCAGGGGTTGAGAGCAGGGAAGGCCAGAGGCACCAAACCTCAGTTCCCGTCAGCATCACTGGGGACACCTGTTCGGAGCCAGGCAGTGTGGAGGGCTGGGAATCTGGGGTGAATGTATCTCTGCCCCCCAGGGCTTGCAGTGAGCGGGGTGAGGATGGTGGGGGTGACGAGGGGTGTCAGACAGTGAACAGGATGATTAATGCTATCCCGGGAAGGTGTAGAGAAACCGCCCTCCAAACTGAGATGGTGCCGAAAGGCCACAGAAATGACGCAGACCCCAATCCAGCTTGGTGAGTTAGATCAGTTTATTGGAGGTGACTTACAGAGGACTCCCATTCCTAGTCAAGATAGGAATCCTTCCAGCACTGGGCGGTGGCAGGAGTCCAAGAGCGCAAGATCCGCGCTGGCTGCCTGCTGTGGAGGCTTAAATTTCTTTCCGGCAAGTGACACAGAGCTCCCTGTCTTCATTGTTGTGTGTTCACATGCAATACAGGTTAAGCATGCACAGTGCTCATTAGGTGGGGACTTCAGTATTATAGTTAACGAAAGGGGACTAAGGCAACAAAGGAAGCTTAAAACAGTTCACACTGGTCTTAAGACTTATGACCATCTATGCAAAAGGAGCTACTTAATAATATCACTGTGCTTTCTGTTTCTTTCAGTCTTTTTTGTTTTGATCTATATCTCTAAATTCAAAAGAGACCTGTAGGAGTTCTGTTAAACATTAAAAAGCAGTTGCGGGAACTTGTATTTTTCCCTCAGGTGGGCACCTAACCTGGCCAGCATGTGTGTGCATGTGTGCACATGGGTGCCCCGGAGGCCCAGTCTCCTTGAACGTGGGATGGTCCCCTCTCTCCAGGATGTTGGCCATGGCTAGGCCTTCTGTGCTTAGACTCCTCCAGGCCCTGAAATTTAGGAGATTATAGATTGTGCAAACCTAAATTGTGGGTAGGCATGTACCTAGTCCTCATCTTGTAATCTGTGTCATAGGTAGGGCTGAATATAGGATGGCCCCCAGAACCTGGATGTTAGATCCAGGGGACGTGCCTTGCTATTGGTAGCATTGCAGCCACCCAAGGTACCTACTGTGAAGTTTCAGGATGACCTGGTTCGGGTGTGGAAGACTTGTTACTGTAGGCGTGAGGGGAAACTTGCCCTTTCCCCCAAAAGTTCGCTGAAAGATCAACTGATAATTAAAGCAGATTAATAAGAGGAAGGCTTACTTATTGTGCACATGGAAAGAATCACAGAGTGATTACCAAATATCCCAATTGAAGTTCAGATTTTTATTTTTATACATGCCTTTTAGAGGGGAGGGGGAAATGAGGAATATAGGTAATTCTGTTTAGAGGATAAATGGTCGCTGAGGAGGATGAATGGTTGGGGGAAACAGAATGACTTTTAAACTAACCTGAGAGACAGGTATTATGTGTTAAATGATTTGGGCCAGGCCTGGTTGCATTCTGTAATATTGAGATAATAGGGAGGGGAAGGGAAGTCAATTCTCCTTTGATCTTTTGATGGTATCAGTTTATGCAGCTAGAGGGAAAGCCCCTTCCAGTGCTTCTCGATCTCAAATGGCTTTTAATTCAAAATATTCTTTATACCAAGGAATCATATTTTGGGGTGAAATTTCCTGAACTCCTTCATTCCCCACTCCCTTTGGGCTTCCTGCAATTGGGCAGGAGCTCCCTCTGGGCCGGTGAATGTCATGGCCATCACCTGAACGCATCTCCTGTAAGGAACCTGGGCAGACCTGGGATGGGCCCTTCTTTGAACACTCCACAGCCTGGTGTCCCCTGGGAACATCTTTTGTGACGGAGCATAGCACCCATAGCTCCCGCTGTGTGGACTCGGGAGCTTCTGTCTCTGGTCCATGCTGCCACACGAGTCACTCTGAAAGGCTCAGAGCCTGCAGCTCTGGTGGGGCTCGTGGAGTGTGGATTTTACCAGTGGGCGAAGGAAGAATAGAATGGGGCATCATTGCAAAATGGCACATGGATTTCTCCAAACTGGGTCTGTTCGTGCCTCCATTTACATTATTAGAGGGAAGGACAGAGAGATGCTGTGGGGAAGTGGAGATGAATGATGGAAGATCTAGAGGAAACAGATGCAGTGGGGAAGGCGAGCATCTCCTCAAAGCTGCCTGAAAAATGATGGCTTTGATGGGCTCTGGTAGGGGGAGTGTGATTGTGTGGTTTAGGAACTTAGAGGAGCTGAAACTAAGGGTGAAGACCCACAATCATCCATCATTCTGGGGAGGCCGTGGGAGCCCTGCTTCCCTAAGCCACTTTATTAATGATCCAGGACAGAGAGACCAACAGTGCCTTCATTAAAGTCACAAATGATTCTGAGCTGGGAAGCCTTGCGAACCACAGTGGGAAAGATTGACAAATTAATACTCAGATTAGGAGGCTGAAAATATATGGGCAGCAAACAAAGAGGAACTTTCTCCGGGAAAAAGAAAGCCCAATAGAGATCGAATGACTGACTCTGTGCCTATTTAGAAGAAAACATTCCCCTGGATGAATTTAATTCTTTAAAAAGTTTTTGTGGTTTTAAAAATGGTTACTATTTTTTTCCCCAAAAATTGATTTTTGCCAAAAATCAATTGAGTATCTTTTTTTTCCTCTCTAAGTCAGTGTGTGTAGATATTCAACAAATACAATACTGGAAAGGAGTGTCATTAACAATGATCTGGGTTCCAAGGCTTCATAAAATCGTAGACTGGAACTCTCCCACTCTAGATGTGAAGGGGCCTCAGGGATTCTGAATCACAATTCTTCGTTGCACCGATGAGGCTTAGAGTGATGAGCCTTGCCAGGGTACAGGGCTTGCCCTGGCCAGCACCCACCTCCACCACACCAGTGTGTGGCTCCCTCCTCTACTCCCCGCCGCATTTATTGGGAACTCACTTTAAGGGAAGCCCCACGGTGGTTCCTGGCGTCTCACAAAGGTAAGCGACACTGCTTCTGACACCAAATGTGTGTTTTTTTCCCACACCAACTCTGCGTGTCTCCAAGCACAACTGCGTGTCTCCAAGCACAACTGAGTGTCCAACAACGCAATTCAATTCTGACACTAGCTCCTGAAGTTAGCAACAACCCTGCAAAACTGCCCCCACTTCAGATGCCAGTTGCAAGTCCAGTGAGCCACCTGTACTTCTGACCAACTGGCTATAAATTCAGGAGTTCCCACAACCCCCTCCTCAGGTTTAAATAGTTTGCTAGAATAGTTAAATAGAACTCAGGAAAACATTTTAGTTTTGTTTGCTGCCTTATTATAAAGGATACAATTCAGAAGAGATGCACAGGGCAAGGTATAGCAATGGGGAGGCATGGAGCGTCCATGCTCTCTGGGTGGGCCACCCTCCCAGCACCTTGACAGATGGGCTCATCAACGTGGAAGCTTTCAAAACCCCATCATTTAGGGGTTTTAAAGAGGTTTTGTTATAGGCACAATTGATGGAATTGGGATGGAGGAGGGACCCCTTTTAGGGGCCTGCTGGTCCCCCCCAGGCATGGACATAAAGGAAAATTTTGAGTCCCTTCAGGGTAAATTACGGGCACCTGACTGGCCTTGAAAAGTGAATGGGCAACATGATAACAGTGGCCCTCCAAGTGAGCAGGAGTCATCAGGTGTTTTGGTTCCTATGGAAACTAAAAGATGGCATCTCAACATATGTTCTCGAGTTGTTTTTCAGAAACCCACACCAGATAGAAAATGCAGATAAGGGAGAACTGAGGAATTGAACTCTGACCACCGCTCTTTGTTCTAAATTTCCCCCTGAGGGTCCTGGAGAGAGTCGAACTTGTATTAATATCCCTTTCCCCAGATCCAAGAATCTCAGAATCTACTAATGTCCCTACTCGCCCTTCAGGATATCTGCCTTTTTGGACCAGGCCAATATATAACCTCAATGTATTGATTTACAATTTTGCCTGCTTGAAATGTACCCCTGCCTTTAGAAACCATGACTTGTAAGACATTGGGGAGTTTGGGTTGTTAGCATTAGCTGCCCATTCTCCTTGTATGGTGCCATGCAAAAAACTGCCTCTTTCTCCCACTGCAACTCTCAGCTTCAGTGTCTGGTTTTACTGTGCCAGGCGAGCAGACCCCAGTTTGGTTTGGTAACAAAATTATTGGCTATTGGTGATTGAACTCAATCGTAAGCCCCTTCCTTCTCCCTGGAGGTGGAGGTGGGGATGGTGGAGCTAAAAGTTATAACACTATAATCACGTGGTTGGTTTTCCTTGCTGTCAGCACCCATCTTGATGCTATGCAGGGTATTACTCTCACCATGAGCCATCCCAGCATGCAGAAGACAGTAAACTCCAAAAGTTTCAGGAGCTCTGTGCTAGAACCAGGATGGCAGGTGCAGGGTGAGCTGAATTAAGTGTCCCAGGAGAGCCTGGGAGGTGGTAAGGCTTCAGATGGGGGCTGGAGGAGGAGGGGACTGCTTCCTGGAAGGAGTGGCATCTAAGTAGTGGTTAGGAAGAAATGGAGGGAAGGCATTTATGATGGTGGGACAAGGCCAGTGATGGGGAGAGGAAGAGAAGCAGGTGTTCCTAGAACCTCAGAGAGCCCCATTCTCTGTGGCTGGAGTTGGAGTTCTAGGAAGAGGGACAGGGGCTTGATATTAGGGTGCTCTGAAAGGGTCTGACTGTGGGAGCCTTGAATATTAGGATTTTTCACATCCAGAAGGGACCATTCAATTTGTGAAAGTTGTCAGAATCAAAATGGAGTCACTTGTGTTAAAACCCTGAGCTGGGGAGGCTGTGAAGGGAGGGTTCCCATGCATGTTCCTGATAATAACTGTCACAAAAGACTCTGTACAAACCACAACCTTGCACAAAGGCCATGGAAACCTTACACACACACCCCGGCAAATACTTATGCCACGACATCTGCCCAGCAACTGCCTATCCAAGCTCTGACTGACCTTATCTTTATTCTTGATCCTGGTAGCCAAGGAAATTGTCTCAAAACAACTTCTGTGGCCCTCCTCATCTCTCCTTTAAAAACCCTCGTCTTCTTTTACCTCCCTGAATACACCCACATGCATTCCCATTGCAATGCCCATTCCCATTTTCTCAAAGAGAGTCCTCCTCTCCTTCTGCGGTTTGGCTTTGACAACGTGCTGGATGAAGGGAGTGACTTGACTGGAACTGAGCTGGCGGCAGGCTGCTTGGGTGTGGCCAGGCTGGAAGATCCTGGAGGCGCGCAGAGGCTGCGGCAAGTCCCCAAGGCACCTCGTGAAGGTGAGGCAGAAGACCACCACCGGCTGCTGACTCGGGAAGGAGGAAAGCACAACCCTGTAAAGGCGGAGGCTGCAAACCCGTTCATTGAACACAAGATGGCTCAGGCTTAACCCACTGGTGACTTTGAGCCTCCTTTACCCCCATAGCCATAAACTCTCCATAGGGTGCACTCCCGCCATGCACCGCGGCAGGGACCGCATCCAATCAGAGGGAAGGCGTTGCCCTGGTTGCGGAAGTGCCCGCCCTTTATGGAAACCACGCCCCCCATGGAACATTCGGGCCTCCATCCTGTGGGCCGCCCGTGAGGCCCGGGGGTCCCGGTCAGGCACCTCCGTCCCCAGCCTGCAGCGCCCCTGTGTGTTGATACTTCGTTTCCCAGTAAACCCGGTGCTCTCAGTTTTCCGATTCTGCCTTGAAGTCTTTTATGCAGCGAAGTCCGGCACCTGGATACTGCGCAGGGGTTAAGGGTCCTTCTTCGCCCAGCCCTTGGGGAGCAAACGGAACGGGAACGACTGAGGCGTGCAGGTCCCTGGCGTCCTCGGCTCACAGAGAGCTCCTCCGAGAAGCGAGAAGCGCTTCCTCCCGCGCCCAGGCCGGCGGGCCAGCTCGGGTGAGTGCGGTGCGGTGCGGCCAGGCCTGCGGGAGGGCGGGCCGACCCTGTGCCCACCGTAAGGGGAGGGCTCGCGACAGGGCTGCCCGGTCCCCTCCGAGTCCTAGGCCCCTTGGGCAGGCTGTCTTTGGTTGGTCCTGTGCTAGAACTTAGGATTTCTTTTGTGGTGTTTGTTCCTTTGAGGAGAGTTTTGGTCTTAGGACTCCTTTCCACTTTTGAAAACTTGCTGACGACCCCGAATGTTTTGTTTTTGTGGATTATATTTATTGATTTTGCTGAATTTAGAATTTAAAACTGAGAATTTAAAGTATTTATTAAGTCATCGAAAAATGGCAATAAACCTGTTAGAAATGCTGAGGGAGGAACGCAGGAGGCCTAGATGAAGGAAAAGAAAGTTTCTTTTAACATCTGCGTGCTAATGGGATAAGGCCAAGATGTCATCAGCCCCTAATGGCTGGTGTGTCTAGGGCTTTAATCATAGGGTTTGGGTGGGCCCTCAATGGGGAACAGGCCAGAGGGTGGATCTTATAGGCAAAGTTCCCATGGAACTTTTAGTTCAGCCTAACATTCCAGCCTTTTGTTTTTATGGGCAGAGGTGTCTTCTGTAGTTGCTTCCTGCTGAATAGGGGTGTTGATAGGAGGGGGAGGGTAGCTACCAAAAGGCTGGTAATATTGATCTTCTGTGTACTGGATTAGCCTCTGGGTTCAGCCTAACAAAACCCATTTCACAACTCTTTAATACGGGACTTCATAGAGGGTGGCTGGGTTCTTGTCTGGGCTTCTGCATACAATCTATTTCGATTTATGTAGCCTCTGGAAAACTCCACCGTGTCTCATGAAGGACTGAGAGTGCAAAAGGCAGATAACAGTTTAGTATTATAATGAAAATAGTTTTGTCCTCACATTTCGGAACCATCAATTTAGATTCTTCTGAAGTTGGTATATGTGACTAACCAAAGGGTCTTAAGTAAGGCAGTGATTGACCTGTCAGCCTCAGGGGCATAGCTTTGCTTTGCTAACAGTTCCTAATGAGATTCGCGGTGAAGAAATGGATAATTCCTGTAGGTTAGGAATGGAGTTGTCACCCCAAACACCAGCTACTGATTTCCTGAGAGTTAGTAGATAGCAGTTACTTAAGGAGCCTTATAATAGGCACACACAGATACACAGAGACATACACACACACAGACATACAGATACAGAGACATACACAGCAACACACAGACATGTATACATACAGAGGCACACACATATACATAGACACAGACATACAGACGTACACAGACATACACATAGACATGGACATAGACACAGGCACACACAGACACACAAATTGACACATGGACACAGACATACACAGATACAGACACACAGATACATAGAAACACACAGAGATGTACACATACACAGACAAAGGCACATAGACACACAGATAACAGACATACAGACACAGACACACAACAATACAGACACACACAGATGTATACACATACATAGATACAGGCATACAACACACACAGATACGTAGGCACAGAGACATACAAACAGACATAGACACACATGCACAGACACATGGACACATACACAGACACACAGACACATGTACATAGAAGGAGAAGCTAATGAAATGATCAAGGTGGCTGTGAACACAGGTATAATACTTTTTATTAAAAAATACATTTCAGTGAACAAGTGATTCATGCTCATTGTAGAAAAATTGGAAAAAACCAATAAACAAAGGATTATCCTTAATCTCCCTACCCCAAGTAATCGTATAACATTTTGGCTATATTCTTCTGTATAGATATATGTTAGTTTTAAACAAAAATTGAAACACATTGCACATAATTTTTATAAGATTACTTTTTTTTTTTTTTTTTTTGAGACAGAGTCTTGCTTTGTTGCCCAGGCTAGAGTGAGTGCCGTGGCATCAGCCTAGCTCACAGCAACCTCAAACTCCTGGGCTCAAGCAATCCTACTGCCTCAGCCTCCCGAGTAGCTGGGACTACAGGCATGTGCCACCATGCCCGGCTAATTTTTTTCCTGTATATATTAGTTGGCCAATTAATTTCTTTCTATTTATAGTAGAGACGGGGTCTCGCTCTTGCTCAGGTTGGTTTCGAACTCCTGAACTCAAACGATCCGCCCGGCTTGGCCTCCCAGAGAGCTAGGATTACAGGCGTGAGCCACCGCGCCCGGCCAAGATTACTTTTTAATATTGTATAATGTATTATCAATATCTATAGCTGTAAGTAACATATTTCAGTAGTAGTTTTTAAAAGGCTGCCTTGAATATTCTATAATGTATCATAATTTATTTAACAAACCTCCATTAGGGTACATTTAGTTTGTTTTTAATTTGCTATGAATATATGTCTTTGTACCCTTTACCATGTCTGTTCTGAAACTTTTTTAAATGAAAAATTCCAAACAAACACAAAAGTGAGGTCCCACTTCCCCATCCCCTGGTTTCAATAATTATTCAAAATATGTCCAATCTTGTTTATGCTCTCCAACTCCTGCTGGATTTAATGCAAATCTAAGATCTCATGTCATTTTCTCCCATAAATATTGCAGTATATCTCCAAGAGATCAGGACTTTTTTTTTTTAGTAACATAGCTATAATTCCATTAATAACTTATACAAATTAATAATTCTACCCAAAGAATTTCTCTCCATGAAAGCACAGTCTTGGAGAGGTATTTGTACGCCCATGTTTATAACAGCATTATTCACAATAGCCAAGTGTCCATCAGTGGGTGAATGGATAAATAAAATGCAGTACGTGCACATAATGGAATATTACCCAGCCTTAAAAAGGAAGGAAATTCTGACGCATATTCAACATGTAGCTTGGGGACAATAAACCAATCACAAAAGGGCAAATACGGTGTAATTTCACTTGGATGAGGTACTTGGAGTAGTCAAATTCATAGAGTCAGAAAGTAGAATAGAGGTTACTAGGGGCTAGGGAAAGAGGGAATATGTAGTTAATGTTTAATGGGTATTGAGTTTCAGTTTTGTAAGATGAAAAAATTCTGGAGACGGATGGTGGTGATGGTTGTATAACAATGGTGAATATATTTAACACTACTGAACACTTAGAAACGGGTAAGTTGGTAAATTTTATGTTCTGTGTACTTTACCACAACTAATAATAAAATAAGATAAAATTTTAAAAAATGTATTTAAAAAAACAAGGCCATCTAAATGAAATATGGACTTTAATAAAAAATTATTAATAATTTCTGAATATCATCAGATATCCAGCCAGAATTCAAACTTTCTTGATGGTCTCTTCAGTGTCTTTTTATAGTTAGTCTGTTTGAAGCAAGAGTCAAACCAGGTCCCCACATTGCGTTTGGTATGATTGGGATAAATTCTTGGAAGTGAAATTGCTGGGTCAAGTATATATATATATTTTAAAGGATTTTACTGCATATTGCCAAATTGTCCATCACAAATTATGCATCATGAAGCTCCTGTGTTCACTTTTTAAACAGCTGAACTTTGAAATTATTTCTGGAGAGAAGGCCTCCCTCATACAGACATTTGTTCTCATAGGTCCTCATAGTCTTGCTGGCACCTGCGCCAACTTCTGTCTACTTTTTTGGCTATTGCTCCCAGTTTTTCATGTCAGGTTATAGCTCAAACTGGAAAACGTTCCCAGTTCACCCAGACTCTGCCTCCCCTTCACTCTCTTTGAGTCTCACCAGCTGCCAGGTGGCTCTCCATATGCCTCCTCCTTCCCACTCCTCTGACTTGATGGTGGCTTCGGTCATCAGCGTGACCACCTCTGCTGGCACCGGTGGGGAGATGGAGAGCAGGGAGGGAGAGGCATTACTTACTTTCAAACAATGGCTGTGGGAGGAGCAGAAGGGGACCTGAGGGGACCTGAGGAGACAACCACCTGCTCAAATAGACATTTCTGTACCTTTAATGCCTTTGCCTATGTTTTGAGGTTTTGGCTTCATAGCATTTTCAGGATTCTAGCTTTAGAGCCCCATAACAATAGTTGAGGGGTTGGGGCTGCAAGAAGGGGAGGGAGATAATATTTACTGAGCATTTATTAGGTGCAGGGATAGCATTTGTCATCTTGTCTAATCCATTCAGAACCCTGTGAGGTGGACATCACTTTCTGATGAGGAAACCTAGGCCCAGCGAGGGTGAGTAAGTCAGCTGGTCTAGTCGACCCAGGTCTACCTCAGGGGCCTCTCCTGCCTCCAGTCTGGGTGAAGAATCACAGGTTAACTGTGGTAAACACGCTAGCAAGTTGAAGTGACAAAAGGAAATAAGAAAGACAATCTAAAACACGATTATAGAATTCATAAGCCCCTTGAACATTTCCTGAACTTTCTAAACTATCCATTTAAAAATGCTTTTAGGAGAGAAATTAGAAAAATATAGAATAGAAAATTTTATTTTTTGGCAAAATTTAAAACAAAGAATTTTCCCTCTGGAATCAGAAGGCACCATTTCACAGGGAGTGGGAAGGAGCTGTCTGTAGAAGGAAATATCTTCTGGCCCTGCTTTCTCACTCCAAGCCCAGAGGGGAGACCTGGCTCAGGGATTAAGCAGCCAAACATGAGTCCTGGAGGCACAGCTGGGGAGGGAGAAGAGGTCGGAATAAATCTCATTTTCACTGGCCAAGTCTCCAGTGATCTAATTATAGTGTGAAGATATACTGAACGCCAGACCAAAGGAAAAGGCACGGAACCTGCCTGAGCGTCGGCAGCATTGCTATCTGTGCACTGGGGTTTGCAGAGGACCCAGTTAGAATCGACTCTAGACTCCGTTTCAAATGCCGGGTCCCTCTCATCTCAGGAGTGTCTTTGGCTGCATGTGTGCTGACAGGACCGCATGTGTCTTTCCTCTGTGCTCTGAGGCTGCAGTCCTCATTTCTGATATCAACAAGGTCTGTAAAATCCAGCACAAAAACAGAAACGATGGAGGAAGGCGGGTCAAAAGCCTGTGAACTGAGCGCAAACTGCAAGCATAAAGGTGCTTCAGTTCTAGGAGGTTGTGGCTGATGGGGCAAACAGCTGAAGGTTATCAATTCACAAGCATATATTTGTTCACCAGATCTGGGGGAGGGGTGAGACAGAGAGGGTCCTCATGAAGCTTGAAACAGTGGGAATTTTAGAACGGGGGGGGGGGAAGATTCTTCACAAAATTGGTAAGAAATGTATGGATTTGTTATGAATAGAAACATAGATAAAGATTAATTCATGGTTTTGTAACTTGGTATAAGCAAGAACCAATTATTTTTAGGGCTACTTATGTCCAGGTAGGTCTGGCCTATTTCTCTGTGTCATAAAGCCTGTGGTCTGCTTCATCCTGCTCTGGTAAGAGGTGTTGGTGCCTGCTGAGGGAACAGGCAATACAAATGGACTGAGCAGAGCTCTGCCTTAGGCTGATGGACTCAGACTTCCTGGCCAGTTGCGAGGGCTTCACTTGGCTGCCTCTGCAGCACTGCTGTTGCTATGCTATTAACAGCCATACGCTGTGAAGGAGAGCCTACAAATTGAATCATGGTGATCTGATGCTCTAGTTGCTGTTGCTGTGCAACAAATACCCGAAATGCAGTGGTGTAAAGCAGTCATGGCTTTATTGTGCTCTCAGATTCTGCAGGTCAGGAATTTGAAGAGGACACTGCAAGGACAGCTTGTCTTTGCTACATGATACCCTGGACCTCAACTGGGAAGACTCAAATGACTGGGGTCTGGAACTTGGAGGCTGGCTCAGCTGGGATTATTGCCTGGAGTTACCTCAGGTGCACTGTCTGAATTGTATTGTCAGGAGTCTCCAGAGAAATATAACACACACACACACACAGACACACACTCCCTGCATATGCACCGTATTATGACATTTCGGTCAATGATGGACAGCATATATGATAGTGGTCCCATAAGATTATAAGGGAGCTGAAAAATTCCTATCACCTAGCAATGTCGTAGCCTCTGTATCACCTAGTAATGTCATGGCACAACACATTACTCATGTATTTGTGGTGATGCTGGTATAAACAAACCTACCATCAGTCATATAAAGGTATAGCATATACAGTTATATACAATACATAGTACTTGATAATGATAATAAATGATTGCTAGTGGTGATGTATTTATTATACTATTATTAATTTATAGAGATAGGGTCTTGCTATGTTGCCCAGTATGGTCTGGAACTCCCAGGCTCAAGCAATCCTCTCGCCTCAGCCTCTGAGTAGCTGGGACTACAGGCATGAGACACTGCACTGAGCTTTAATTGTTATTTTACAGTGGACTCTTTATTTTTATATATATAAAGTTTACTGTAAACCAGCCTCAGGCAGGTCCTTCAGGAGGTTCCAGAAGAAGACATTGCTATCATAGGTGATGTCAGCTCCATGCCTGTTATTGCCCATGAAGACCTTCCTGTGGGATAAGATGTGGAGGTGAAAGAGAGTGATATTGATGATCCTGACCCTGTGTAGGCCTAGGCTAATATGTGAGTTTGGATTTTAGTTTTTAACAAAAAAGTTAAAAAAGTAAAAAAAAATTTTTTTAAATGGAGAAAAGGTTATAGAATAAGGATATAAAGAAAGGAAATATTTTTGTACAGCTGTACATTATGTGTTTTAAACTGAGTTCTTACAAAAGAATCAAAAGTTAAAAATCAAAAAGTTTATAAAGTAAAATAGTTACAGTAATCTAAGGTTAATTTATTATTGAAGAAAGAAAAATATTTTTTAATAAATTTAGTGTATCCTAAGTGTATGCTGTTTATATAAAATCTACAGTAGTGCACAGTAATGTCCTAGGCCTTCACATTCACTCACCACTCACTCACTTACTCACCCAGAGCAACTTCCAGTCCTGCAAGCTCTATTCATGATAAATGCCCGATTGAAGCATACTATTTTTTATTGTTTATATTATATTTAGACCATACCTTTTGTACTGTATTTGCACTAATACACATAGACTTACCTTTGTGTTACTGTTAGTTATAGTATGCAGCACAGTAACATGCCATGCAGCTGTGTAGCCCAGGAGCAATAGGCCATACCGTATAGCCTAGGTGTGCAGTAGGCTATACCAGCCAGGTTTGTATAAGTGCACGCTATGATGTTTGCACAACAGTGAAATTGCATTTCTCAGAACATATCCCTGTTGTTAAGCAATGCATGACTATATATATATGTTGTATACATTTACTTAAAACATACTTATTATGCAGAATTGGCTCATGAGATTATGGAGGCTAAGAAGTTCCATGGCCTGCCTCCAGGAAAGCCAGTTCCATTCATTCATTCCAAGTCCTAAGGTCTGAGAACCAGGGCAGCCAATGGTGTGACTCCATCTGAGGGCTGGAGGAGAAGAGCTGAGATGCTGCAGCTTATCAGAGAGGCAGAAAAAAAGAGGGTGGAATTCCTCCTTCCTCCACCTCTTTTTCTGTTCAGGCCCCCAGTGGACTGGATGACCCTCCGCCCAATTGTGGAGGACAGTCTCCTTCACTGAGTCCACCAATACAAGTGCTAATCTCACCCAGAAATGCCCTCACTGACACATCCAGAAATAATGTTTATTCTGGGCACCTGTGTTCCAGTCAAGTGGACACATAAAATTACTTATCACAGGAATGTTGCCAGCCAACAAGATCAAAGTCACGTAGAGTCACTTCCTCTACCCTCTACTGGTTGATGTAGTCATACACCTGCCCAGGTTCAATGGGAAGAGACAGGTGCCGCCTCTCAATGGGAGGAGTGTCAGAATTTTCTGTGATACTTTAAAACTGCTGCCATTCCCCTCATCAACCAACTTTTGCTTTTCTATCCTGTGCAGACTTTTTGTTTTTTTCTTCTTGAGATATTGTCTCGCCCTGTCACCAGGGTTAGAATGCCGTGGTATCAGCTTAGCTCACAGCAACCTTGAACTCCTGGGCTCAAGCGATTCTCCTGCCTCAACCTCCCGAGTAGCTGGGATTACAGGCATGTGCCACCACGCCCGGCTAACTTTTCTATTTTTAGTAGAGACAGGGTCTCACTCTTGCTCAGGCTGGTCTCAAACTCCTGATCTCAAAGGATCCTCCCACCTCGGCCTCCCAGAGTGCCACAGGCATGAACCACTGTGCCTGGCCCAAACTTTTTCTTATAAACCAACTTTGTTGAGGTATAATTTACATGCCACAAATTCACTGCTTTTTTTTTTTTTCCTTTTTAGCACATTTGAACTGAGAGTTGAAAATTCACTCATTTTAAGTGCACAACTCAATAATTTAGTAAAGTTACTGAGCTGTACCACTATTACCATAATCTAGTTTTGGAACTTTTTCGTTCTTCTCACTAAGGTCCCTTGTGCCTGTTTATAGTTAATCTTGTTCTCAGTGCCAGGCAACCACTAATTTACTTTCTGTCTCCCTAGATTTGCCTTTTCTGTCCACACAGACTCTGAAGATAAAAGCAGTGCTTCAGCTTTAAAAAGCCATTTCTCTGTGTCACTTGTCCCTTGATAGGGTCACCTGGTAGGGTCACCATTCTGACCTCGCCACTCACATCTGATTCTTCTCCTCTCCTTGGGGCCACATGATCCAGATGCTGGTGACCCATCTGGAGAGGTATCCTATGATTCCGCATCTGTAAGATAGGGCTATTGATGGCACCTACTTGTAGGTCTTTGGGAGAATTGTGTGAATTAATGAGGGTAAAGTGCTTTGCACAGGGCATTGGATCCAGCAGCCCCTCCCAAAAGGGGAGCCCTTTACAAGTATTAGTTATTTACGTACGTCGTCATGAGAATACTGGGGGGTGGGTGTCAGAGTCCTCATTTTACAGAGGAGGAAAGTGGTGCCCAGAAGTCTCATGGCTCATCAGCATTGGAGCAGGATTAGGCGCAGCTCCTGGCACTTGCAACTCCTGGCACTTGCAGCTCCCCTTACAAACACATTCCAGGCCACCTCCTGTTGACCGACAGGGTTTGGAAATGAACCTCCCCTTGCCTGGGATGCTTAGGTCTGCAGGTTTCAAGGTACATTCCTGAAAAAGTTGCATATGAATTGATTTATTTCTGATGCCTCAAAGGAAAAAAAAAAACAGGTATCTAACTAAAGCATTCATTCCCTCCACAGAAAGACTTCCTTTGGGAAGCTGCTTCCTTTCTTATCAGGATTAATAGACAAACACTCCTTAGAGAAATGGTAGCAGACTGTGGTGGTAGGGGGATGGAGGGAGAGAGAGAGAGAGAGAGAAAGGAGGGGGAGAAAGAAGGTTACTCAGTTTGGTTTGGGGAACTGAATACATCCCCCATCCCCTTGGCTGGTAATTGGGTTCATGTACCACATTTGCCAGAGATAAGCATAACCTGTCTTAGCCTCAGTTATCTCACTTCCAAAGTAGGATTATGAAGATTAGTGCAGTGGTCCCCATCCTTTTTGGTACCGGAGACCAGTTTCATGGAAGACAATTTGTCCATCAGCCAGAGGGCAGGAGGGATGATTTTGGGATGATTCAAGCACATTACAATGATTGTGCAAACCTCTCTGCTAGTGATAATCTGTATTTGTAGCTGCTCCCCTGCACTAGCATCACCATCTCAGGTCCGCCTTAGATCATCAGGCATTAGATTCTTATAAGGAGCAGCAACCTAGATCCCTCACATGTGCAGTTTACAGTAGGGTTCAAGCTTCTGTGAGAATCTAATGCTGCCGCTGGTTGCTGGCTCACCCACCACTCACCTCCTGCTGTGCAGCCTGGTTTCTAACAGGCCACTGACCAGTATTGATCCATGGCCCAGGGTTGGGGACCGCAGGATTAGAGATAACACATAAAGGTGTTTAACATTTAGTAGATACAACATACGTTGTAGCTAGCACCATAGTCAGCATTACCACCATCATCATCCTTACCACCACCAGATTCACCACCACCACCACCATCACAAAACCTCTATTATTTTCACTACTAATGTTTTCAAGAAATGTGCTCCTTTCCGGCCAAGGGGAGGGGTGATTGTGCTCTGAGGTCTGAATGAAGAGAGAAAAATAGGGTTGGTGAGTTTTAGTGATGGATTACTCTTTGCTACCTTTTCCATTCATGTGTGACCCTATTGTACCCCAGGCTAGTAGCATGGGAAACCCTGGGTGCGTAGAGTGCTGATGTTTGCTTTCTCCTGCCCTGTGACTGCTGCGAGACTCGATGGAGATGAATTTTGTGTGACAGCCAGGCAGTCAGCTGTGTACTTCCCTGGACACTCCCTCTCTCCAGCTCCTAGACAGCCCCTCCACACCCTTCCCTCCTTCCTCTCCTGCTCCCTACTCCTCACTTCTAGCTTCCTACTTGCTGAAGCCACAGAAGAACTCCAAGCCTCACCACCACATCATTTGTTCTGCTGCAGATGAACTGACTGTGCCCTGAGTGGAGGCCACCCCTATATGCACCCTAGACCACATGGCCTCCTACCTGCCGATGTGGTGGGCAGAATAAATGCCCCCCAAAGATGTCTCCATCCCAATCCCCACAACCTGTGAATATGTTGCCTTACATGGCAAAGGGGACTTTGCAAATGTGATTAAAGATTTTGGGATGGGGAGATTACCTGGATAATCTCGAGGGTCCTTAAATGATGGAAGGAGGGAGGCAGAAGATCAAAGTCAGAAAAAGAATTGAAGGTGCTCTGCTGCTGATTTGAAGAAAGGGAAAGGCAGGTGGCCTTTAAGAAGCTGGGGAAGGCAAGGAAACCCATTCTCCCCTAGAGCCTCCAGAGGAGACGCAGCCCAGCCAACACCTTGATT